TAGTTGTAGTAGTAGGAGTAGAAGCAGTAGTAGTAGTAGTAGTAGTAGTAGTAGTAGTAGTAGTAGTGGTAGTGGTAGTGGTAGTGGTAGTGGTAGTGGTAGTGGTAGTGGTAGTGGTAGTGGTAGTAGTCGTCGTACTAGTACTAGTATCGGTACTGGTACTGGTACTAGTACTAGTACTAGTGCTGCTGCTGTGGTTGTTGTCGTCGTTCTTGTTGTGGCTGTGGTTGCGGTTCCGGTTGTAGTTGTGGTTGTGGTTGTGGTGGTTGTTGGTGTTGGTGTTGGTGTTGGTGTTGGTGTTGTTCTTGTTTGCAAGCGTAGCCCCAAAATGGTCACAGCACCACCCGCACATTTGCAGTTAAATGCCTCAACTCCAGCATCTCACCCAAAGCCCTAAAGCCAAAGCCACGCCATCCACCCAGAGGACCAGACGGCTTCTATGGCTGCCACCTTGTTGGCGCTGGGAGGCCTGTGCCCAAGGTTGCATGGGGTCCGTTGGGAGGACGTCCAAGCTCAAGGCTGCAGTGCAGGGCCTTCCTTTCTCAGCCTCGACTGGGATTGAGTTTGGGCATGCTAGGTTTAGGATTTTAGGGCCTGTAGTCTGCGACAGTCTCATACATGAGGTCTAAGTCACACATCAGAAGATTCATGATCAGTTCGGAAAGGTCATCCTGTTCGGCATAGTTTCAGATGCCGTTGATCGGCGGATGCGAAAGCTGTCTCAGCAGTCAAGCTGCAAGGGCGGCTTGCTCCAACTCCGGGCGAAGTGCAAAACCTGTTGCCAAAAAAAATGCGGTTTGAGTGTTTTGTGTAGGCCACTTAGTGAGGACTCGTCGGCCTCGCCTTGCGTTGCCCTCGCGGTGGGGAAGCTTTGAAAAGATAAGGTGAGATCAGACCCCCCCCCCCATAAATCGTACATCCCGACCCTTTCCCTGCTTCGCCAAGCGTTAAAGATCCCCTTTTCTTCTGCGACAGCCTGGTACGGGCCCTGAAGTTCCTCTCTCACCAAATGACCTCGAATCGCTTCTTTTAGCGGAAAAGTGTATAGTTTTGTTAAGGGTTGATGGAAGGGTTTAGGGTTTGGGGTCTCGCATTTTGCAGTGGGATCGAGGGGCCTTCTATGGAACTTGTAGGGACCTAAAAAAACCAAGCCTCCCACACCCTCGAGCCACCCATGAATTCGATACAATTAGTTCTAAGGCTCAAGGGTTCCTAAATAAGGGTTACGATAAGGGCTCCTATAAGGTTCCTTTATAAGGGTTGCGATAAGGGTTACCATAAGCCCAAAAACCCTAAACCCCTAAGCCCCTAAGCTCCTCTAAGGATTACCACAAGCCCAAAAACCCTAAAACCCTAAACCCCTAAGCCCCTAAGCTCCTCTAAGGATTACCATAAGCCCAAAAACCCTAAACCCCTAAACCCCTAAGCTCCTCTAAGGATTACCATAAGCCCAAAAACCCTAAAACCCTAAGCCCCTAAGCTCCTCTAAGGATTACCATAAGCCCAAAAACCCTAAAACCCTAAGCCCCTAAGCTCCTCTAAGGGTTACCATAAGCCCTAAACCTTAAACCCCTAAACCCCTAAGCTCCTCTACGGGGTTACCATAAAGGGCATTCCTTCAAAAAGGCGCCTACCTGCAGACGGGCTCTCCTGTCAAAGCGGCTCGATGCGCCGCACTTGGTTTAGGGTCAGGCAGCTCAAAGCGTTTTAGGGCTTAGGGTTTAGGGTTTAGGGCGTTTTAGGGTTTAGGGCGTTTTAGGGTTTAGGGGTTTAGGGGTTTAGGGTTTAGGGTCTACGACGG